CTCCGCACCTGCATTTTGGCCAGGAGGCAGGATACAACCTCGTCTCATATTCCAGTCGGCTTCAACAAACTGCTTGCAGGTAAACCGCCTCCACAGTCTTCTTGGGCGTAAAAGACTGCAAGCTAATTCATTGTTGTGGCAGAATGTATCAACCTTCTCGGCCTGATGTGACTCATCGAGAAAAAAGTCCTACGCTGCCGCATAAATCAACACCTACATCACCTCCACCGGAGACAGGGGAAAAGGAGAAGCACAATAGGGACCAGGACTTAGGGGGCCGGAAACACTCAAAGCAAAGAACACAGTTGAGCTCCAGGCGCGCCCAGGGGACAGCAAAAAGTGCAGGCCGGACGGTATTTGAGGAAACTGGCGCGGGTAACTTACCAGCCAGAGATGATCAAACAAGGTTTGCATTGCTGTACTTTTGAACTTGTCTTTTCTGCAGTGCTAAGTAGACTATTGCAGTCAAGCGACAACAACGCCAGTGCCGCGACCCAGTTCAGTCACGCAGTGCTCACGCTCTTGGTCCTCTGAAACCCTTCCAGACCACCAAACTGGCTCTGCTCATGTTCTCGTTGAGGCTCTCCAGTCAGCCTTAAAGACTCAAGTTTTACAAGCACTGAGAATTTTGGGCGTGATCGCTGGGGAGTTCCGCTCATACAACCTGGAAATTGAGACAATTGATAAGTGGACGGTAGAAATCACCGGAGTTGATATAACACTGATCCCTATAGTATCAAATAGCGTGCTCCAATTGCTTGCTCCGTTTGAAAGCCTCAATGTCATCCTCACCAAATGCATCACTGCTCCAGGCCCCATGCGAGACCATATTATCAGAGACCAAGCGCTCGAGTTGTTGAATTATATACAGATTTATGCGGAGGAGTACCACCTATTCCAAAATCGAAGGTTGTATCTTGATGTTGGTAGATGGATAGAAAGGCTTAGCTCAGATACATTCAATGAGCAAGTCAAATGAGTCTGTTCTCCCTGGAGCTCCCACTGCTCTTATTCCCTTAAACTGAGTTCCAAGCCACTGTTTCAGATATCTCCGGTCGTTTCCTCTTCTGGTGCTTCTGCATTTCTCTGGATATAGAATTGGTATCATCTACCATGGGCTCAGTAGAATTTTCCCTGGTCACTGGCTCCATCATGACAGTCTTCAATTTTGGGGATGCAGAGGTACGATTGAGGCCTCATGTACACTCCACATCCCCATGACTCTTTTCCGATTTGACGACAGGAGTATCCTTGTTGCACGCATTTATCGTTCGCACCTTCTCGTTCGTATGGTCCACTTTGTTGGACCGACTCGTACACGGAAATACCTGCGAGTATATCAAGATCATTAGCAACGGGCTTTCACTGTAAGGGAGCATCGTGAGGCTCAACATACCGAGTTGCGGTTTTCTCCTTGGACCACATGGCATCCCATATACCACTCCTTGGAAGGATCGCCTCGTGCTTGTTCGAGATGATCGGCAACTGGGTAGGAAGTCAGCTCTTTGTCTACAGAAAAGAACATTAGCTGACTTCAGAAATGCGTAAGAGAATATGTAGTCACTAAACGGATGTGAGAATGTGAAAGGAAGAAGGAGATTTCGCGGGAGTGAAACTCGGACAAACAGGAAGGACATCTCACTTGAAAACCTGGAGACATCTTCGATCAAGAGGAGCTGCCCATGACTTCCCCACATACATCAATACTTTCGTTATGATTTCCTTCGCTGGCTGTACATCCAAGTAGGACGAGCTTGAACAGATTTCAGGAGACCTTCAATTGCCTCGGATGTGCTTTGTGGATGCTTTGTGGACAGTCGTTGCTGAGAGAGTGTCAAATGTTGCTTTCTGTTACGCAAATGCTCCTTAGATAAACCAAGGACCTCGATTCGCTTTAGTGTATGTTGTTGTTGTTGAATCCCGGGAATGCGAGGCAGAAAGCTTGGGAGAAGGAGAAACTTAACACTGACTGTCTGTTTTAGGTAAGTAACCCTTGGTTTGTCTACTCTCCACCACACCCTCACACACCTGATTATTCCCGCCCTGCTTGTCTCTTTCCATCATCATATCCCCCTACGATCAACACAAGCCATGCCTGTGTTACAACTTTTGTTCCTTTTGCATTCTTTTCCGGTAACTTCAATCTCACCGAATCCTCCAAAACCCTCCCAACCGAAGCTGTTCAGACTTGAGCCTGGAAAGTCTATGCACCAAGATATTTTGATACGCAAAAGTCCTTCGCTACTCAATCTTGCTCTGAATCATACGAGGTCCAGCAATGGTTATCCTCAGGCCCGCCGAACTCTGGCCTCTCCCATCCGTCGCTTCGTTACCCGATTGTCCTGCATGATTGCTCAAGTTTATTGGACCAAAGACCGTATAAAGCCTATGTCAAGCAAACGATATCAGCATAATGATCTTGGAATAACAGTGGACCTCCCCTCCACTGGTGCGGAGGACCTGGTGTGGGCTCGGAGGGCTAGTCTAACCCCGAGCAGAAGCGCTGCGACCGCTGGGAGACAGCTCTCACGCATTGGTGTTATAAAGAGAGACCCATCTGATGAAGCTGCCGCATACCTATTCCTGGCTCTATTTCTTTTGGTTCCTTTGGTCAGAAGAGTGTTTCTAAAAACGTTGGTAATCTTGCTCCATGAGTATCTAGTGTTTACACATATACCATGCGCCTCGACGAGGAAACAAATCAGACGTTAGGCTGTTGCGGGTCACCTAAAGACGACACTTGGCCATTGAGGATACCCGTCTCACGCAGCCGGCACTATAGGTCATGAGTTCAAGCAAGACACCGCCGCCAGTCGCGGCTACGCTGAACCAAGTATTTCAGGCCAGCTCAAGTTTTAGTTCGTCTACTATATTATCCAATAGAATGAGAGAATGGGAGCAGAAGTAAGTAGTTAGAGGCTCTCACTAGTACAAGGGCCTGAGAGCGAGGTAGAACTGCCGATCCCATCCCCCGAGTCCTCAAACAAAGGCCAACCCTACTCCCCGGCAACGTGCAACCATAATTCTCATTATTACCCTTCATCAAATAACCGTTCCTTGTAAGGAACACCTTGTGGTAGCCCGTTCCTCATATACTTGGTGAATCTCGTGAGTCCGTTCAAGAGCGTCCACTCCGGATCAACATGGGCACCCGAGATGACTTCGCATTCGGTCAGATGAATCACCCAAGCTCATATACCTCACAACATTATCTTTCAGAGTACCCTCCGGTAGTTGACAACAGTGTTCTTGCGACTTACTATGAGAACTACGGCTTCGTCTACGAACAACCTCCTCCAGCACCCTTCCTGGCTGCACCACCCGCGCTCACTACCTCTCCCCCATCGTCGGCCCCCAAATTTCGCGCGATCCAACCTCGACCCAATAATGATTCCAAGACAGAACGTATTGGCGATATGCTTTATTCTAAGCCTCAGAGGCGTTGGAGAGGCCGACAGAGTCGACGGCTGCCACAACAAAGAGGTAGCAAGCCCAAATCCACTCAATGTGAGGCAGATGCGAACATGCTCCCTTCAACTACACCCGGGAGAGAGAGGTTTGAATTCATTTGATACTACCATATGTCAGAGTCTAACTCACGGATCACAACATTTAGTTCCGCACCGTTCAACCGATATACGGAGTCCGACCTGCGCTCGAGCAGCCAAGAGCCTACTTTCGCTCCTGGGTCAATACCGCCTACAAACGACCCTGTGATCCCAGAGAGAAACCAATCGTCACCCATCCCCAGTGATCTATCCGAAGCGCTTGCCTACGGCCGGCCCGCCGATCACCACGGCATACACGGGTCCCACGTCCTACCAGATAAGCAGGCTCGATGGCCGAATTCGTACTTTGAGAGGGGTCAGAGCCAAGACGCTACACAAATAATATGCGACGAGCTAGCAGCGCGGCTTGAAAAGACCCAAGTTTTGCAGTCATTGAGCATTTTGCAGGATTACATGGCGAAGCACCCTTCTAGCTTCGAAAAGCAAGCACCTGAGACGGTTCAAAGATGACTGGTGGGCATTAACAATATGGATCTACGGGGCCATCATCCGAATGAGGACATGCAAGTCAAATAGAGCAGATTGCTTCAATGAGAAACGAAAGGAACTGCTCGGAGGCCTATATTCTCATCATCAGCCAGCAATAAATATAGATATACAGGTCCAGATCACTACCTCGCGGTGCTTCCCCGTTACAGTGGATTCATCGACCAACGCTGGAGCCAGATCAGCCTTTACCACGGTTAGGCGTTTCGTAAGGCACCTCAATTATCTTGCCTATCCCGCCACGTCAGAGTGGAACAATGGAATCCAACGTCCAATATGACCAGGCTGTGCTCCTAGGAATTTGCATCCGGCCCCAAGCCTATTGCAGGTTTCTTCAATATAAATATAACTAGGACAAAATGGAATAATGAAAGAAAAATCAGTGTCAAGCAACTCGTAACGGGATGCTTACCGTGCTCGAGACAAGAAGGCTCTAAGATTTCACTGGAGGGAGAGGATACCCCTTGGAGCTAAGTAGAAGTAAATAGAAATAAAAGGGATGAAAACGTAAATAAAACATAAAAAAAGCAATACCAACGAGGAGCATGCATTTTAGCTAAGTGGAGATTAGCCTCATGCCCCCTCCAGTAAAAGCTCCACCTGGGCGTACTGTATGACCAGATAGGATTGGCGCCGAAATCACCGTAATTACGCGTATAGCTCCCATACGCTAGGGTTCTGATTCCCTCATGCTGCAAAGATTATGATTATTACCCCTGAAAGAATCTGGAACTGAGGCACAGCAGATCGTGACACGGCCGGGCTTTCTAGGGTGCATCACTAGGGCTTTTCGCAACCTATTTAAACGAGGGCCCACCTCATTCTATTTCGATTCCAGTTACCCCAAGAAAGTCCCATTGCTGCTGATAGCAATATCTGGTGACGTGCAAGGGCTCGTGATAAAGCGCAATATCCAGCCTAGGGTATGACTGGAGCAAATTCGAAATGGCAAATCACGCTTCAAATATACAGATGGCCAAGCAGTTGGCCAACCCCATTCCCGAAAAACAGCTCGTCAATGAAGTGGAAAAAACATACGCACGGCTAGTCATTGCAGAGAACAAATGCATCGAAGTGATAAAGAACATCTCACAAATGCCTATCACGACCGTCATCTCGTTGCACCAAACACTCATCTACGAACATCACGACTTTTTATTGCTTCGCAACATCCAGCGGCCAGTCCAGTCGTGAGGAGCCAAGCTGAAAAGCACCAGATGCCTGGACGCATGTGGCGCTACGGAATCCATTCCTGCCTCGAACTATTGCTGGAAAGACTCCTTGCTACACCTTTTATGCAAGACCATATATTAGGCTTCATATATTTCTCGTATTCGATGGTGACACTTCTGCTAGAGCAGGTCCCGAATTTCAAGGGAACCTGGTTCGAATGTCTGGGGGACCTAGCGCGTTATCGTATGGCAGTGGAGGATACAGATGTCACGGTCCGCGATATATGGGCAGAGGTTTCTAGATATTGGTACAATCAGTATCTTTATCAACGTTCTGAACCCGGCCGAATCCAGCACCACCTTGGCGTCCTCTCTCGCTCGGATACTTTGCAGCGGTTCTTCTGCTACTCGAAAGCATTGCTCAGCGTGGACCCATTTGCAAATGCGCGTAAGAGCATGATTCACCTGTTCAACCCTATCCTAAGTGCACCCGCTGACAGACACACACTGATCACTTCGTTTGTGGCCGCCCATGGTGTTCTTTTCTTGCGCATGCCAAGTGAGCAGTTTGATGCTCGGTCAAACTTCTTCCTTGTGAATCTTCGCCAGGGGGCTAGCCGGTTAGGCCGAGAGGCACAGCAAGGCATTTTCATCACGTGCTGCAATATCGCTGCGATTTTCCAGTATGGGGATGAAAATGGAGCTTTTGCTACGGATTTTGCTGGCGACCCAAGTACATCCACTGCAGACGCCTATGTCAATGCCAAGAAGTGAGCATCTACAACAGCACCTATCGACTTAAACAGATATCCCTACACCGACTTCTCATCTCAATTTGCATTCGGTGCAAGCTCTCTCGCTTTCCACACCCTGATCGTCATCTTTGGCCAAGCCAGCGAGCCAACTATGCACCCAGCCGTGCATGCCTCTTTGGCATTCCTGTGGTGCCTCTCGCTCCATCCAGCAGCCATTCAACGACTAGAGCTGCTAGTTCCATGGTTGATACTCGCAAATTATCTGAATACTTTGCTTCAACCCAACATCGATATTACAAAAATTGAAGCCGAATCATTTCCCCACATAGATGGCACACCCACCCAGCAATTACCGGAAGACTTGCTGATTAGAGGACACATCTGGAGCCGGCTGTATTACCCTGCGAAATTCTTTGATCAGACGGGTGTAGACATTGACAGACCATTGATTGAGGAGCCGTGGACGATGCTTCTGAGAAGACATAGGTGCCTGTGGCTTGGAGTGCGGATTGCAACTGTTTGTCTTACCTAGAGATTTGTATAGTACATTGTTTGCTGACCATATCTTGGCATTTAGCTTTCTCGCTGGATGACGTATGACCGGACTCGACACTTTACGCCTACCCTACTTACCCATCGATTTGCGGCAGTTGCTCAATCAACTGGCCACTTGAGTGGGAATCCATACTTGAGCCCAGGCCTCTAGAGCAGAAAATGGGGAGCTTCGAATACGCAGGCACGGGTGCCTGTCCTAATTGAGGCCTGTTGAGACCATTCATTCGTTTAGCCACCGTTGTTGGTCCTGCATTGATAGCACCTAGGAAGTGCGAGGTTCTAAAAGCTAGTCAAGATACAGAGAAAAGGATACCTCGCAATTCCAACTAGATGCGATTAAGAGTCAGGGGCGGATTTTTCTTCCTTGGTGAATTATCATTTTGTGGATTCGCCGCTCCATGTACATAATCCATGTCAGACTTAGGAGTCAGAAAGTGACGTTGGAAGCAACCAATTTGCGCTAAATTGCATGGACAGGGAGTTTCAGAACGGCGTGATTGCTTCTAGCCCAGTTGAGCCTGCGAAGCTCCCGAGGTCGCAGATACTGTGGTAACTCGATATACTACTAACTAATATGAACTAGTAGTGGCATGGTTCTTTTTTAGCTTGAACGTATCTAGAGTCAGTAATTCTGCTTCGTCATGCTCGGTAATTCTCTACAGATAGCAGGGCTTTTATCTCAGACGCGGTCTCATTACTGCCTCCAGAAATCAGGGAAACTAAATCCACTAACTAGGCTTGATGCGTTTGATATCAATTTCCTTGGGCTTGACGTCTTTCACGGCTGAAGTCTGGGAAAGGGGAGATTTTCTTTACTTATGCGCATTTTCCGTCTCTGTCTGTATAAACAGCAAATAGTTATCCATAACTGTACCCAACTACGAACATGGACATCTCATCGTCATTATCAATAATCGGTCACGCTCCTGTTGACCGTTGCATCGGTGCTAGGAATTCATCTCTTAGCCCTAGGAGTTCTCTTGCTCCCGGGGGCCCCTGAAACGTTTCTGGGAGCAAAGAAACAGCCTCTAGGAGCCACGTAGCCCCCAGGAAGCCCGATGTAGCTTCTGGGGTCTGGTGTTCCCACCTCGGGGAATCAAAGCCGCGTTCCTGTTGACGACTTGTTGATTCCTGGGGCGATGATTTGGCCTCCTGGGGGATCCAATGACGCAGAATTGTGCGCAGGTCCGGTGAAGGTGTTTGTGAGGGCTTTCGGCGATCTCGGAAGGCAAGCTATTGACTCTAGGACCCTAAAGTAAGCTCCCAGGGGCTCCACAGCTCCCAGATCTGGTCGATGTATTTATTCCCAAAGCCAGTGTCGTATTCAGTCAGGAACGTAAAGTGAAGATCCCAGGGGCAGATCTCATTTTCCTAGGGATTAGAAATAGCCCCAGGAGCTAAACAGCAGTTCCTAGAGTACAAATAGCTCCGAGAAATGCCTTTGAGGTTTCCAGGGCGTGACATATTGATTCCCAGAGTAAAGTTAACAAGCAAAAGACCTCGTCAGTTCTCCCGCCTGTGGCCTTTTTGCCAACAATCCCCCGCCTTCACGCAACACGGCTCCACTGAGATGAATCCATGTCTGTTTTTCTTTGGTCACCGCCCTTAGGTATGATGAAAACAGAGCTTTTATCGATACAGTTTCGAGCTAAGACATTCTCGGAATCAGCGAAGCAGTCAATAGCTATTGGCTGAGGTGTAACGGTGTCCTGCACTTGCAAAGAGGAACCGTCGCATTGTATTCTAGGGTTGAATGATCAGGATTTCATATTTTTCATTTCTCTAAGCTTGCTCCGAAACTGGATATCACGGCCATGACCTCCATTGCTGATCACGAGGCCGGTGTCTGGTCACGTGTACTCGCGTGTGATCGCTTTTCGCGTTTTCCGTCATACTCGGCTGTAACTTGTGATCACCTACGCTGAGTGGAATTCAGTCGTGCCGACCGGCGAAGCGGTGCAGAGGTGGAAGGTCCTCGCGGTAGATGAGTTCCTGCTAGTCTGGCTGAGCGACGGGGGCCACTCTCTTCGACTGAAACACCTGGGGATCCCACTGACCGCTGACGCGGCTGACTTTGAGGATCGTTTGATGATAAGATCCCGAGGGTGACAGGTTCTCCATCGGGAGACGATTCACTTGCTGTCAAAACGGAATGTGTTTCGGCATCCGATGGGGACTGGTAAAGGGCGAATCAAGGCGTCTAGGGCTCCGTCGTTTCGACTGTAGTCATCAGTATCTTGGTCGTCTCAGAAATAAGGTCGGCCACACTTACCACACACAGCATGACGTGCCAGATCCTGTATCTCGCCTTTCCAACCACTCTTCCGCGCAGGCTAGGTGAGAAAGCGCTTGGCACTGACCACAACGCAAGATCACGCACTCGTTTGCAAGGTCTCCATCCTCGGCCAGGCAAAACACACAGTGGATGTCGTTGACCTCCTCACTCAGGGTAAGACTCTGGAGCGTCAATTCCTGGAAACCAGCCCAGATATTAGTGACCGACGCCAGAATAGCCAGTTGGGCCGGCGAAACCCGCCATGGAACACTGTTCGTCCGCAGCATTGTGGAAGTCACAAATGGATTGAATGGCTGTACTGGCTCGGGATTGGTTGACAGGCGCACCGGTGGTGGCGATGACCGGGTGTTGTCTAAGGCAGGGCGTCGCCTGGAGGCTGACGACGTCTGACGCTGGCCCCGATGTACAATGACTGATGGAGAAGCCATTCTGGAGCCGTGTGGTACTCGCGCCTGGTTGCGGACGGCGGCTTCGTACCACTGCTGGCTAACTTGGTCGGCCTGCCGTTGCCGGTGCCATCTCGCGCAGAGGAAGTCTCTGGCGACATCACAGAGCTTGGATTGCAACGTTGACAAGTCAAATGGCTCTCTGGCGAGAGTGGTCAACTTTTGATGGCCGATCTTGGTGTCTTCAACTTTGATCGAGTTTTTGCACGGCTCGCCTTTTTTCGTCATGCCGCAACAGGAGCCAGGACCGCCATTGGGGCTGACCTCTATCTCACAAACAAGAAACGGATTCCAAGGCAGCATGGTAGTTATTGAGGTAGTCGTCAAAGGCAGAAAATGCTTCGGATTGTGGTGGTGTTGGGCAATCACTGCGGCGTTCCCTCGCCAGCTTTATATGCCATCGCGTGGGCTCCTTACCTACATGGCTGCGTGGCTGCTGGCATGGAACACTTCCTTGAAACATTCGGTACGTCGAAGAATGCATTCACACGCAGTATGCGCCGTATACAGCCGATCAGTGGCCTGAGAGAAGGGATATCATTCCAGACCACTGCTGCAATCAGCTGCACATTTGACTATCCATCGCGGTGACCACGCATTAGCGAACAGACTGACTACTGCGGTGAGCAGCAAAGTCGACAAATGCCGGGTTAAATTCTGGGTTGCCTATAGAATTTCGAAGTGTGATAGGTTGTGATTTATTCTTATGGCGCTAGACGCAAGATGTGGGTACGTAGAGATAGATTCGGTTCCCAGGCCATCGACACACTACTGTGAGGGTCTCACGTATCCGTAAATGAGGACAGCGTATACAGATCAGTGATCAATATTAAACAAAGCTATAGTCGACTCTAGATACAAGACGTAGCGCGAGGAAGCAAAAGAAAGGTAGCTTCCTCGCGTTCAGGGGAACCCATGTACACCATGTGGGTCCCGTGCGGATCATATCTCCATCCGTTCCGCATGCTTCATCTATATCCCTGACACAGAGATTCTACAACTCCGCCTGAACATTGTTGTCAACCCTTTGTGATTGCTACGCACCTCTCAGCGGACTGACAGACTACACTCCTAGCTGACCATGGAATTTGGCTGAGGTGAGTATATAAAGGCCTCCCATATCCTACTTTCACAACTCTCACCTCACCCCCATCTACATTTCGTTAGCTCAATCCGCTGTCCCATCATGGTCTGTTCAATTCGTTCTTACGGAGTTTACCGATGAGCTAATACATTACAGCCAAAAATCAGAGACCTGCCCAACGAGCTTTTGCTGTGGATTGTGTCGTATTTGGACGGTAGTACATTATTTGCCCTCGCAAAATCATGCAAAGACTTTGATTTTAAACTGCAGCCCAGCATCTGGAAATACAACATCAAATTTCAGAACAGCAATCTTTTGCACTTGGCCGTCAAATACGACAACGTTGGTCTTGCGGAGGCTTTGCTCCAGCACAACGCCAACATCAATGCATTTTACCGAGGCAAAACTCCTTTAATGAGGGCGCTCAAATACTCTTCCGCTGCTGTGCGGGACCTCTTGCTCAGTCGTGGAGACCTAGACATCAACATTCAAAATCAAGCGCAGGAGAGCGCCCTGTGGTATGCTATCCACTACGGAACCTTTTCCGCCGTCAAAAGTGTCTTAAATCAACCCAACGTCCAGGTGGACATCAAGCACAAACACGGCCGAACGGTGCTCCACCTAGCAGTCTTCGCAGGCCGAATAGGGTTCGTGCATCTGCTACTTTCTAGAGGCAGTGACCCTGATCTACAGGATGATTCAGGCCACTCGCCATGGGACCGGGCACGTCGCTTCAATAGACCAGTGATGGAAATGATTTTTTCAAACGATCCGATGGCCGAGGTATTTCTTGGTACCCAATCACAGGAGGCTGAGCTACCTCTTCACCAACCAGTATCCTATGGGTCGGTAGATGTTGTCAAACGGCTTCTCGGAGAAAAGGGTCTGAACTTGGACGCCCACGGCCCGAATGGTGATACGCCGCTCCATCTCGCCGTCCATAGCAGACGCCTCGAAGTGGTCAATATGCTCCTGAGTTACACTCGTGCCAATGTGGACTGCAAAGACAAAGAAGGCAATACGCCTCTTTGGCTGTCAACGTACTTGTCATACGACGAGATAACCGAAAGGCTACTGGCCGAGAACGGCATCGATGTCAACTTCGTCGGAGGCTACGGGAGGCGCGAGGGGCCTTCTACATCGCTTCATCACGCGGCAGCCAGATTGGACACTGCAGTTTTACGGCAGCTGCTTGCGGTGCCAGGAATAGATCTCAATCACTGTGTTGCAGGCCACTCTCCAATGTCTGCTGCCGCATCGCACGGAAGTGTGGACACGGTTGCTTGTCTACTGAGTATGGCGGGCGTGGAGATTAATGGAATGGATTTAATAGATCCGCCTATTTGTCGAGCGGTTGCACATGGCCATCTCGACGTGGTAAGACTCTTAGTGCAACAAGACGCACGTCTGAACATCAATTAAAGCACGATCGCAACTCACGACACTGCTCTCTGCATGGCTGCCCGTGGCGGTGACGTGGAGATCGCCCAGGCACTGCCACGCCATGATCGAATTGATGTAAGCGTCAGAAATCGATATTCTGAGGATCCATTGATGTTGGCAGTCAAGGGTGGACATTTCCCGATTGTTGATGCAATTGTGGTCAATCCCGGACTGAAATACTTCAGCCTGAAGAGATCGCTGGATCTAGCAAGGAACGATTGCATCCAGAGGGCCATTCGAAGCAGAATGGAAGACGTCAATACTCCACAAAGATTGTTGAAGCGATCTTCAAGGGGAAGGTTGGGTGGTCTGTTAGGGCTGGCGACGTCTACCCCAAGTAGCTCTTTCGATGCAATGCGAGACGGCCGATTCATTCGACGCTTCCTCCGCTAGCTATACGGCCCACATTGTCACTGGATCCGTATTTTTGTCTATAATATATTGAATTAATAGAAGTGACCTAGAACAGGCCGGACTATCCGCTGACACACTCCGCAAAGGCTATCATATGCCTTCTTAATGTGAACAACTAAAAAGACATAAGCTGGCATGCGCTAATCCTCTTAATTGTGAAATTGTTGGTTATTTTCCACGTTGTAAAAGACATAAGACAAATATGAACATGCAATGCTTCACTCTTCTCTTGCGTTGTCCAAGAACCCTGGTAGATTGGGTCTGGAAGGGTGATCCCAGTCATCGAGTACGCGAGTCAGTCGAACCCGAGATGATTCCAGTGCCTGCTCGAAAAAGCGCAGCCGAGACAGCTGCTTGTCGTGCCGAAGCTGAAGTCCGTCCCTCTCTTTGGTCAGGTGTCTGCTAGCCTCCTCCAAGATACGATTGCTCTGGTACGCCGTTTTAGAACCTATAGTAACAAATATAGCACTGGTAGGTTCTTATTTTATGCAGTGCTCAAGATTGGAGCTTTAACAAGAGCTCTTTGCCGGGACACACGAGCTGTCACGTTTGGATGTCTATTGATTAGCAAGACCGTCCGCTGCGTAGGCCCAGTCCGCAGACTCGTAACTACCATTTGATTCGGCAAGAGCGGAAGGGGTCTCAAGCGGAGCGAAGAATTAAATGAAATGAAGAAAACAGAGAAAAGAGGGAGATTTGAGAGTTTACCTCACGAGTGTATCCGTAGGGAAATCATTGGCGATGATATGTGCAAATCAGCTGAGCGCAGACACGAGACTGGGGGGCTGAGTGCTTTGCGCCTCATCAATATTTTGAGTAGTCACACTCAATTGGCGCTTCCTTTATCTTTATAAGAGAAGTGGTAAGAAGGCAGATGTGGGTGAACACAACTTGCAGTCATTCAAGACCTCCCTATTTTATGAAGCCAAAACTCAAATTCTCTGCTTCTGCCATCCACGTCGAAAGTACGTGGGAGGAGAAAGCAACGCAGAAAACCGGCTACCGTGCTTAAACTCGAGTTATTGAATTAGACCTGCAACACGATACATGGTTTATCTTGCAAAAGGGTAGCATCCGATATATTCCGTGATTGGTGCTCTGCGGATAGGACACTTCTCCGTTGTTCCAAGACTTCCTGCGCATGACCTGCAGACCATGTGCCCATATAGAATGAACACCAGCGATTTGGCTGCACATAGCAGATCTTGTGCGGAGCCTGGGATGGATCCCCATCGTACAAGTTACTAAGGTATATGGAACCCTAATGAGAAGAGGGAAGCCGATTGCCCCAGGCAACCAGATGGGTGGTTATCAACCGCTGGGCTACCGGTCGCAAGCCTTGTCCAATAAGCGGGGGAAAGTTGGGGCTGCGCTTAGTGGAAGCTGCTGCCCCGGTTCAGGCCGGCGCCTGTATGACCACCCTGCAGAGGCGACATGAGCGTCACGACCACCGCAACCGTACCATCGCGACCAGAGCACGGCCCGGTAGAATGCGGCGACCTCAACACATGGGGTCGCAACTCTCTTGACTCCGTAGGACGCCGACGCAAGAGCTATGGTCAGGCCGAGACCGTACCTATGCGCTGCAGTGGCAGGGTCGGCTGGGTCACCGTCCACTACAGCAACGTCCACGCCGACCCCTTCGCAGTAGCTGGCGTCTGCCTCGGGCGGAATATAACCCTGATTATGGCCCATCTCTGTGTAGCGCAATAATTGCTGGGCGTCGTCGCCATCGTCTAGGAAGAGTAACAGAACCCAGGGGTTGCTGTACGCGCTAACACCATCGGCAGCTGAGCCAACCAGCTCAGGGAGACTGAGGACGTGCGGCCTACCCAAGTGGTCGGTGGACATAACGCTGACGAAGCAGGTCCGGCACAGCTGAGTGAGCCAGGGGTCATCGAGCGCGGAAACACCAGCCCAAGTCACATTTTCGGCGAAAGACGAGGCATCGAAACGCCGGTCCTCGAGCCTAGCTCGTGCCGCCGCGTACTTGTCAAACGTCCCCACGCTCCTTAGCACGACATCAGGTACTTCGGCGGTCATTACTGCGCAGAGGCTTAAGGGCGAAGAGGGAGCGGAAGCCGGGAACGCGGCAGCAGCGGTAGCAACCCAAAAACCGTCGATTAAGCGGCGCCTAATGTAGGGCAAGTATGCGGATGGCTCAACACCCGCGCGCGCCCCGGCATTACCGCGAATTTCTTCAGTGGCCTGGACGATTTCTGTGGATAGTGATGGCGGCGGGGCTACTCTGCGGGTGTTGCCCACGCCGAAACCGCGTTCAAGGCCGACAGCCCAGTCGTTCATGCCCAGGGCGGCTGGCAGTTCCGAGTGTGGAGTGTAAGCCACGATGGTAAGCTCGAAAAGGGTTCGTGCGCCAGAGTGGTGTGCGGTATCGGCAACTTTATTTGGCCTGAATTCGCCGACAATGTTCGCTAAATAGCGGGGCCCATAAGGGTCATATAAGTCAGCAAGGATACGTGCGCACTGCACGATGGCGCTCGCGCGAGCAGCGCAGATCTGGCCCCGGCACCATTTCCAAGCATTGCTGGCACACTCACAGGCCTGGCCATCACTGCCTCGGAGCGCATCGTAGGTCGCGCAACCCAAGCACTCAGTCACACGAATGAGCGTGAGGGCAGTGGCCCACCGAGATCTGCCCACATCCGCAAGGAGGTATGCGGTGAATAGCATGAAGTGGCCAGTGGCAAGGCAGTGGCGGCAGAGGGCACGACCTGCACCGTGGCACAAGGTGGCACCGTACAGTGAGAGCGCGGAACATAGCGGGTCTCCGATAAAGTCGAGAAGGTAATCGACACACTCGCAGTCCGCATGCAAAACACTCTCCGGTAGAGTCATGTCGTAACCCAGAACCCCCAGCATTCCAAGTATACGCGACCAGTCACGGACCATGAGCCCCGGCGGCACACGACTGGTGGCCGTGATGGTAAGACACTGGTAGGCCTCATGACTGAGGTCACTGGCGTTGGTGAAAACGGCTTGGTTGTGTAACGGACGCTGTACGACTTTGTCACCACAACGACAGTCGAGAACTGGTACAGGGAATGGCCGACGCATCGGAGCGATAGCGTGGATGAATGGTTTGCCGAAGTCGATAGGTTTGCAGGACGAGCAGGGATGGCACAGGCGACGAGGGCGACAAGGGGCAGAATAGCTCACGGCGTGCTTAGTGTTTCCAAGAGTTATAGTTAGTCGGCACACTATTATTAAGCTGTTGAAGGTCACCAATATAGATGTGGAAGTGATATTGTCCGGAAATCGTTGGCTTGATTGGTGATTGCAACGATGACTGTTAATGATGCTGGCACAAGATCTGACAATAATTCAGTATAGGAGAAAGAAGTCCTCCTTATATACCATAATCCTCCCGTCCTTGGCACGATGATCAGTGGTGCGTTGTGATTACTGTTAGTCTGTGGAAGCAGGGATTCACCCACGTTGGCTAATCCGATGCCACCATAAGCAATCACTTTTCTCTTTCAAAATGATACCCATGTAGTTACGCCTGGTAATTAGGGCCACGTCACACTTTACATCAATCGACAGCAGCTTAACAAGGTTGTTATCAAAAAGCACGGCATGTTTTGGAACCACAGTCATTCATCGCACTCCAAGACACTCCGAAAGGTCAATTGGATGGCCCGTGCGACGCAAGCACATGCAGAACCTGTGCCTAGGCCGACCAACTGCTGCATGTGTACTGTTCTATGCACGAGCGAAATCATGTGGGAAGAAACGGAGGATACTCGAGTGAAGGGTAATCCGTTACCTATCGGGTAGTGATTTGGCCGGCCGGGGGCCGAAGTGGGAACAGCTGCTGCTAGAGTGCCGTTTCACGAGCCTTGTAAAGCTCGTGTGTGCCTTCACTACTATTTTGGTAAGGGATGTAAGTCGTGAGGCCTAACATAGTCCTCTGTGTAGCCTACTCGGAGGTTTTCCGGATCCTGTGGGTCTAGTTGGAACCAAAACGAGGGTCGATGCATAAGAAGTATTCAGCTAAATGCACGAAAGGTTCAGCTGGTGCGACATAAAAAGAGGGGCGGCAGGACGCACAGCGGACCAATCAGGAAGCAGTACATGGTATAGCGGAGGGGTCATAAAAGGTTGCTAATCGCGGCTCGGCCCGCTTCCATGCGGTGCCCTCCCTCCCGAGCGATGGCAGCGCTATCGACGTCTAGCCAGACCTCGAAGTTCTCCGCATCCCCTATATTGTCGGACTCGAGATCAAGATTGACTGGCGGGGTGGGAGGAGACGACTCCCCCTGATGCGAAGGAGGACAGTTCTCCAAGTCCTATCCGGAAGGCCGGTGAATACTTTCCCACCGTTGCTCGCCGGGAAAGAGGGCATTCCAATCGACCTATAATGGGTGATTGATGGCTGAGAGAGAACATCGGGGCAGGCCCTTGCACTAATCCTGGACAGAGAGGCTTGATCGGAAGTGGAATTCGGAGGTGGTCCACTAGGGTGCTGCGAGCATCGGTGGGCTTGTTCGAGCTGGTTGACAAGGCTCACAGCGAGTGGCCCAGGAGGGAAATGGGCGCACCTGCCATCCAACGGGAAGTATACTGTATGTAGCGGGGTTCCATCCCCTTGTCGCGCTTTAGCGTGGTTTCAAACCGATCCTTCAACGAATCATACCGTTTGGCAGTGTAAAAAAAGAGTAAACCTAGGCATAAAACCCCACGGAAAGTATCAATCTGGGTGAACTCTATCAGTTTTAGCATTATCGTGCGCGCACCTGAATAATCTCTTCTTTCGTCCTTTTTATTATGTGGGGCGGTTGTGTAGTTCGGGGCAGAAAAAGAACGATAAACTGAAAAGCAAGTGACAGCGAAGGGGATATGTCAAAGGAATAAATGACGGTAACAACTAGAGATGTTGCCCATGGTGCATTTTCAGTCTAGCGGTGTTATTGCCCCGTTCTGGTCTCGATAGGATACTATGCTGATAGTGGACCAGTATAGTATGGTGTGCAGCAAAAGACCAAATATTCTCAGGCCTGATCCCGGTTGCCATCTTGGGGGTTAGATTAAAGCCGGTGAGAATAAAGTACTTTATGGTTGTAGGCCAGGTGCGTTAGACTCTTATCTTTCCGTCAGTACTAACAGCTGCAAACCCTAGTTTGTAGTTAAAGTACGGAGTACCTTATCCTCCACTGAAATAATCCGAAATAAGAAATGGTATAGCCCCTTGATCGCAGTGAAGGGCTGACAAGGAAATCCCCAGAAGCAGCCTGGTGTTAGCAAGGTGTCCCAGAAGCACAGTATGACCTCCCGCGTTGATCATTCCTCGAGAAGCCTGCTGAGTTTGCGAGAACCTGGATTAATGCGGGTAATTGTTAAGTTGAGTCTCATCTCCGTCAGTGGAGACCCTCTCGCCACTCTCAAGGTAGATTAATTCACAGATAGCCCAGGCCAGACCAAGCTGTACAAGGGCTCAAAAGTATGCAGTGCGATTCTGGTCGTGGTGCCCGAGCTAGCCGTTTCGAAGCCTGTTCGGTATCTGGTTATGACCTACTAATAAAAGTTAATGAGTTATGCACTTAATACCAGGCTGGAGTTATAAGGAAAGGATGGGGCACAGTGGGGATATAGTTGCCAGATGGCAGCCAATACATGTGTGCGGCAGTGCGTATTGGCTTACTCCTGCTGCACTGATTTGGAAACACATTTTGCCCCCTAAACCGCTACACCGGATTTAGCTTATCCAGAATGGACTTCTTGGCACATTTCAGAACCGAAAAATTGCTTTTTTTAAAAAAAGAAATGGTTCCCTGATTTTAAGGGCCTGTAACTCGACTGTTTAGCGTAATTTTCTGCGAGAAAGGTAGCGGAGAGACGATTAAAGAAGCTCTGTCGGCTTGATAACTATTCGGAACTGTAGTATCAAAATGCCTCATCAGAAAACCGGGTAAGGCTTTTGTTTTGAATCTTGCTTTTAGCTCCACGGTAGCACTGCAACAGGCTCTTCTTGGATTCCGTCACCGACCAAGCGTATCCATCCCCAGCCGATGGCTGTAGCCGGACTTGGCTGGGAGCGACGACAAGGCCAAGTCAGTCATCTGACGCGAGTTAATGTAGTTTCGCTCATCAGGCGGAGAGAAGACCATAACATACTAAAATGGGCTGCTAATGCCTCACGGCACTGTTGTCTGAAGAGGCGCGCTTCTCATTGCTTGTGAGAACCATGATTGTATTTGATCCTTCAGACAAGGCTCAAACCCTTGATATATGTTCAGGCTAGGCGGTAGAGATCGTATGCCTCGACGACTTATCGGCTGAAGTCGATCTGATTGTCGTTCAACCATGAACACCCCCTTAGGGCCCACCGGTTACCGATGACCACAGTTGAACGTTGGAAATTGTCATTTTTTGCGGCGTTGATTTAACCACGACAATCATGAGCAATATTCGACGGGTTTGTAACTATAATCAAAAGAATTAACTCTTTCGACCATGAGTCCTCATCCATTGCAGTCCACACTCGCTCTGGGCTGATTTATCTAAGTACGCTTCTGCCGTTTGTTAGACCAGTCATGCAGCCCTTCCATCCGAACCACGGGTAATGCGACCGCAGGATTCGGATTCTCTCCCGCGGGCTGAGCTTTCCACGAGGTTCCAACCCTAAAAAGGCTTCGAGAAAGCTTGCCAACTTTGCACTGGAAAAAGGCAAGGTCCACTGCTGGCGTTTCACATCCACTCTCGCTTTGCTTTGGAGGACTCTGACAAGGCTGCCAAGTTCAAGCAGAGCCCGCCCCGAAGTACGTTATCACCTCCAAGTTTTTCCGTATTTATGATTCCGAGAATGTGGAATGGAGGAGATATCTGGGATGAGCAGGAATACAACCGTATAACAAAACGCAATGCCCCAAACCTCTGCTAACAACCACATTCGTCCTCGAACAGCGCTCAAGGTTAACGACGTCTCTAAGCGTGGCAAGAAGAAGACCAGAATGCTGTGGGTTTTTATTATCTTTCCGTATCTCTCACGTGCTAGACGATGAGAACGCCAAAAGATCGTGCTTATCTCCCGAGAGAGATCATCCTCACGGCGGAGACTCTCAACCCCCGTGACCAATTATCACTCTTACGCGCCGTTCCTGACCTTGCCCGAGTCTTGACGTTCCGACACACTTCTGTCCAGGATGAAGAAGGGAAATACAATTTTGTACCTTCTCGCAGAAGAAGCTGAGGGCAAACTGAAAGAGCTGCTATTAGCGAAAAGTAATACTCAAGTGGACCCAAAGAACAAGAACTGTCAAACGCCACTGTCTCTCGCAGCTCTGTATGGACGTGAAGCGGTGGTGAAGCTGCTTCTGGAGCGAGATAATGTGGAGGCGGACTCGAAGGATAAGTACAGTCGGACACCACTGTTGTGTGCTGCTTTGCATGGATACGAAGCGGTGGTGAAGCTGCTTCTGGAGCGAGACGATGTGGAGACGGACTCGAAGGATAATGGTGGTTTGAACCGCTATGGTATGCAGCTCTGTTTGGACATGATGAATTGGTGAAGCTACTGATTGAACGCGACGATGTGGAGGCGGACTCGAAGGATAATAATGGCCGGACACTACTATTACGGGCAGCTGAGTGCGGACGTGAAGCAGTGGTGAAGCTGCTTCTGGAGCGAGATGATATTGACGCGGACTCGAAGGATAAGTACGGTCGGACATCACTGTTGCGTGCTGCTTTGCATGGATACGAAGCGGTGGTGAAGCTGCTTCTGGAGCGAGACGATGTGGAGGCGGACTTGAAGAATAAGTACGGTCGGACACCACTGTCTTATGCGGCTGGGTTACTGTCTTTTGCAACTGAGCATAAACGTGAAGGGGTGGTGAAGCTACCGGTTGAGCGAGATGATGTGGAGGTGGACTCGACGGACAATAATCATCGGACACCACTATTATGGGCAGCTTGATATGGAAATGAAGCGATGGTGGAACTTCTCAGCTCCCTGTCATAAATACCCAGCAGAAATTCAAGCAAATATGCGTGAGGATGATCAAGCTCCAAGATAGCAGGAGATGATACCTGACGTAACCTTCAAAGTGAGAAGCGATGTAGGCTGGCTTAGTGGAGAGACACAACCACTCTGAGGATATTGCTAATCTGCTGAGGTCTCTCACCACTATACCGCGTTTGAGGCAATACTGACATCCACAGTGCTCCTAGAAGCCGGTGCCGATAAGGCTGACTCGCGAAAAGATAATTGTGAATATGCATTCAAATGCCGACATGACCGCTTCAGCCCACAACATTTAAAGGTCATAATTGTCCTTGTCTTGCGGTCGATTCTCTCAAGTTTTCTTTCCCCTATAAGATCTTGTCATTACAATACCCATTAGGGGAACCAAGCAATCATGGATTACAAGCTGCCACGGATATCAAACAGGCCCCTTACCCCGGACACAGAAGTTCAAAACGGACATATATGGCAAGCTGGTATCATCCTTCTGGATCCCCTTTCTCGAGGAATCCATTGGCTAACAAGCCTGTTTCATGGAGGCAAAGAATCGGGTGACAAGTTCCGTCAGGTCATCGGCCATTTCATCCACAGAGATCGCGGCACCGCAAACCAGGTTCGCAGCCGTCCGTTGACCGGTCCCTCTCTGACTCTGTGCTACCTTTCTTGCTAGCTCAAGAGACTCTAAATCGCCTGAAAGCTGCATGAAGGCAGGAAACCAAGATCTACCCCCACTGGAAGGGAAAAAGAGAGCAGCCAAATCCTCAACCCTCTCGCTAAAACTGGCGACGCAAGAGATGCAGCAAAGGACACTTCTAAGAGTTACAGCAATCAATACGATGATGATAAACGATACGTGTCAATACATACAAGCGGTGTCTGACCACACCTCAGCTTCCGACACTATTTTCTCCAGGCAATGGGCCAAGATGCACCTCGCCGAGCAATTGCTACTGAGCAGGCACGAAGATATAATCGCGAGGGAAAGAATACCGACACACGGTGCGTTGGATTGTTTTCCTTCACAGGCTGAACCAGAAGAAAAGTCCCCGAGGTGTGTTGCTGCGGATGAGGAGCGGTTATGTGATTGAGAGGCTCCTCGTTCTTCTTAGCTACTGTAAGAACAAACGGTTAAGGGCAAACGGTTAGGAACTGAGTAAGGAGCGATAAGCGGCAGATTGCCCAACAACTCTGAAAATTCTCGAACATACTGCTTCGGCCTTGAGTGGCACTCCGCCTTATCCTCAGCTTATTATTCACTTATCTGGATAATGAACAAGAGTACGAATAAATACCTCCATTATGAAGACAACTTGGGCTCAGCTATACCCGATCGGCTCCTTCTACATATGGGAGCCGACATTTTTTACCTTCACAACCTCTGTCTCTCGGACAAAGGAAGTCACTATCATAGTGTCTTGCAATTTACAATTCCACGTTTGCATACGTGGAGAAGGTCCAGGGCACAACTTGCGCGAAAGAGGGCTAGCTGGAAAAAGGTATGGTTTCCTAAGCAGCGTCGCCCAGTGAGGCATCGCCTCTGCATCAGGGATCAACTCCGTGATATTGTTTCGACCATCTGCGACGAAGGGTCTGTTACGTTTAAGTGAAACAGGTGCAGTGTGTTTCATGAGCCTCACATGATGCAGGGTTGAAGCACTTTAGCCGTGCGTTATCCGAAGTGTTATCTCCGTCGTAGCTGACCGGCTTGAGCAAGGTGCAACTGAGGGGGTAACGAAGAGTGATTGCATCTATATCATGCCGTAATGCTAGTTCTGCAACATCGATGTACGAGCGCAGTCGGTTCACCACTCTAGACGGGCGTTCGGAAAGTTCCTTGTACGTCCAGCCATACGCTAAGAAACCCTGAAGAATCAATGCTGTTGCCACTTTATTTAGTGAGCAGCCTTTCTCCAGGATTTCAGGCCGCTGCAATCTGAGATATTCCAGTAGAAGAAAGACATCTCCCTTAGTTTTCTTTCCCACCTGTTTCAATCTAGTCAGTTTCTTGCAAACGTCTGGAAGGCATACAACACACTTACACTGTGTTTACCTGGCTACCAAGCATGAGCAATAGCCCCGGGCCGGCATCCATCAGAATTTGCATGTACCTCTGGCCAGCCTTACGATCGGTTTTCACAGCGCCTATGGAGGCTGATATGCTTGCTGCGTGCAAAGACAAAGCGGCAGACTTTCTGCCACGGCCACGGGATAAGTGGAGGAGGTCAGAGGTCGCCAACTGTTCAAGATCATGATCCAAGAATATGTGACAGAGGCGACTTGCACAGTCATAATCGTCGCGGCCACGCTTCACCCGAAGAAAACCATGAAACAGTCGCTGAAAGCGAGCGACTGGACCGGTACCAACGTCAGAGAAAATCCTTTCCCGAGTGGACCAAAGATTCGCGTATGTTGCTCCATCGAGTTCCATGGCATTGATTAAACCCTGGAGCGCTCGGGCTAGATAGGTCGCCCTTGAGTTTCGAGATCCCAATCTGGCCCTGAAGAAAGCCGCCGCATTCGTATGATTCTCTAGAGGAGCATAGGCCACATCAGTAGAGCCAGTCTCAATCACTCCGTCTGGCCGGGAGGAAATGGATGAAGGCAATTTAGAAGCAACCATCGACAAGCTGGTTGTGTCTAATCCCTCTGGAGTGGAAGGGAAACAAGTCCATTGTTCCGGACCAACTACAACAGGGCTCGATGCAGCTTCAGCTATGAAGGGGGTGATATCAAGCGAAGAACTTTGTTGAAAAGATTCCATAGACATTTCTACTTCCACGGCCATGGTGCGCCCCTTCCTGATATGATGGCGAGCTGAAGAGGATCTGTCGTTCGATTTCTGTGCATCGGAACACAAAGCCGCGAAAGCACCCAAGTAGACCCTTATAACGCCGCTCAGATATAGGAAATAACACGATGAGGGTGCCGTACTCACCGGTGAGTTGACAATAACAGATGGAGAAAGCGTTCTGAGTATCCGGGCTATAAGTTGCTCGTTGGTTTCATAATCCATCAGAATCGGGGACCTGCTAGGCCGTACAAAACAAATTCAGCAAAGCCGGGAGAGATAGCCAGGGCCACAACGTCGGCCTTTTTTTTGGACTAAATTATTCGCAAAAATTTGAGAGACAATGACATTAAGTGAGAGCGAGATAATTCCTGGCTAATTTAACTGAGAGCAATGCGGTATTTATTTGACCCCTATTCCAGATCAATGTGAAATCTATATAAATGCACATGTGAAGTTACAGCTTTGGTTGGAGCTGACAGGCTGTTTTAGTTAGATTAAAATGCTGGTATTTAAACTTCCCGCCACATTCGGTGGGATCAAGCCATGTGGGGGGGGGGGGTGTGGCGTAAACAGTAGTGCGTCACTGGTTAGGTCTTACGCGAAAATGCTAGCTGGGGTCCTAGCACGGAACGTAGGGACTGCGGGTTCGAATCCTGTCACTTTCACAACTGTTACCCTAGAGGCACCTACCGAAGAAAGCCTACGCCTTGGTTGACTTGGCTAGACCTGGCTACGACCCTCCGCATGGGTCCCTACCCCGGACCCTCGAACCTCCCCTCAAGAGGGGAGGTTCCAACCTTCCGACCCTCAACCTACCCTGAGGGTCGTTGAGGTTCACTATGCTGACCCTCGGCGACCCTCAACGACCCGCATTTGCATAAATTTTCGACGCCTTACCTCTTTCGGTTGGATAAAATTGATGATTCATCTGATAGGTTCTATTTGGGACTGTTGCGTGAGAGCCCCCTTGCGTCGGGCCCACGATATCCCGTGCTGGACTTCGCACACAAATATCGCCTGGCCTTCCCCTCCCTCGAAAAGAACATCGCCGTTTCGAGGGAGAGCCGGGCTCTCTCCGCGACGGTTTCTTCCCGCCCACCGCGGAACCCCCTCATGTATATACAACGTATGCTCCCGCATAGCTATTTTTCCTCCTAGAATATACGGAGTGCCACGGGCCCGCCTGCAGCCCTCACGGCGCTGTAGCCCTCCGTCAACGAGGCCTACATCGCCAGTGTTCAGACCGCAGGTGCCCCGTGCGGGCCAAAAATATCTCATCCGTCTCCATTTGTGCCAGTGTAGCAATGGTTAGAATAGAGAGTTGTTTTTTTATACATCATCACTTCAGCAACATACATTGCACCCCAACACTAATGATTCACTCACGTGCCTGCTTGCGGTAACCTGGTCACTATAGTTGGAGGTAAATATCCGGGAAATGGATTCAGAGTAAACTCCAGCCTGTTCTGGAAGCTTTAGAGTCTAGGCAGCTCCGGTCGCATCCCGTGTCAATTCTAGCTTCACGCTGTGCTAGGCCAGAGCGATGTGACGAATTATCCAGGACAAATACATGCGCGGTCACAGAGATAAACGCAGGAGGCCTACGACTTGTCCAAATGGATGGATTATGCCAGGTAACTTATTGACACGTTTGGCTAACCTAGAAGCCGCCTTCGATGATTTTCTGCCGAACCCACGTTTTGTGATTGGCACTCTGCGCCCCAATCCCCGACACATCGCCCTGCCAGGATCGTTTATTATCGACCAATGTTTCTCCTGAGAGCCGCGTGGCCTGTTCAGGGACAGTATGTGCAACAGGCAAAAGGGCCGGCGTCCAACTGGTCTCAAACACCGTGCCAGTATTGGAAGATTCTGCTCGTTCGGAGGCTGTAATCGTTTCGGATGTTGCATGGTAGAAAGGGTCATCGTCCGTCCACCACGTGCAAGAGGGTTCAAGGTCCAGGTCAATCAATCGAAAATCGCCACTCGTTCTAGGATGAGCGAAACGGCGTACTGCAGCGCGTAACGGGTTGCTTGCGCATACTAAGACCAGTTAGCGTTGGCATAATCCAAGGGGCAACCGACGGAGCGCTCATACCCGAAACCGCGGTCGTTCCGCCTGTACCATCCATCAGGCGTGCTAACTCCTTGGCGATATCGATGGTATGAAAGTGGTATTTTAAGCGCGTACAGTTGCGCTTGCGGTAACGAATCTGGTCCACGGGCTGAGTATCTAGGATATGTGTGGTGAATTGCAATATCTGCCACCGAGTTAAGCCCCGACCTATTGTAAAATTTATAGCGAAAGGAGAATTCACTCACATCAAATCCCCGGTCATCTCGACGTCTATGCTCGGGACAATCGTCTCGGTCAAACATACGGTCGAGTTCAAGGATTTGCGAGATTTCCTCTCCCACCCAGTGGGGATGGTCTGTTTCGGTAAGCACATGACACCGCAAAGCATCTGAGAAGATGAAGGACACCTACTGAAATTTTTCAGCCTAACTTGCCATAGGACCTCTAGCCGTCGCACCGTGTTCCTCCGGCTTCGGCTTTCTTGAACGAGATGTCGTATGAACGGCAACGCGCGGAAGAGTCCAATATCTTCAAGAATGAAGACGACGGTCCCATACTGGCCCAGGTGAGGTGGGTGCCCGTAGGGACCCAGCACGCACACCGGGAAATGAATCGTCGAGTGCGCACGATCCGCAGCTTGTGCGATCCTTCCGGTCACGCCCGGTCCAGGCCGGGCCACTATGCGTAACACATGAGTTGTCGATGCTCCTAGGTTGCTTTGCCCTGTACCTACCGAAGCCACGTAGAATGCGGGAAGCTGCAAGCAGGACCTTACTCCAAGGCGTGGCATCCAGAGCTGTACATACTGCCCCGGTTGAGCCATGCACTCCGCCGGTACCGCAATATCAAGCCATAAGAGCCTGTTGGAAGACCGCGCGAGGGCCCGTCGAGAGGTGATGCGCCACGATCTGTGGAGCCACATGGTATGCAGACATGTCCCTGCGCTCCAGGCAAATCCGGCGCAAATACTGCCTAGTAAAACCCAGCGGTAGGACGATACCCGGTCGGTCAAATGGTAGAGAAGGGCACCGGTGGCGATCAAAGCAAGCACATGGTGGACCTTGAGGCCGACTTGCGGCCATCGCCGAAAAATCGCAGCGAGCGTCCAAAGAAAGATCGAGACGAAACTGCATCCGGCCTATGTAATATTAGCCACTTCTAGTCAGACATCCTTTGGGGAAATGGGAACGCTGCCGTTCTCTAGCCGTCACGTACCAGGAGTGGGATGACGAGGGAAGCTCCAAGGCTTGTATTTCGAGCAACTGTGCCTAATACGGACCCATGAAGAAGGCAATGCAGCACGCAAATGCGGCCTAGCCACCGATGGGCCCACTGGAACGTGCGCCGTTCGATACGGAAGACGTGGGCCGGAAGGCTGAAGCTAAACCCGGAGCAGAGGGGAACAAGGTGTGTGACCGCTAAGCATCCGGCTCGCTTTTGCACATCTGCCCAGGTCTGAGCATGAAGACTGATTGCAATAATGTTGGTAATCACCAGGGCTGCAAGTACTCCCCCTTGCAAGTATGACGGGATATCCAGCCACTGGAGCACGCCTGGCGTTGGCGCCTGGAAGAAGCGTCTCCAAGATACTGCGTGTTGCAACCTCAAAGGCAAATAGCTGAATCGGCGTGCGAGGCTGTAAGATATCCAGCATACAAGAGCGAGGAGCCCACAAAGACTAAACTTGTCTTGGACGGGAGCCCTGGCAAGCCATTCGGCAAACTTTGACACAGGGCGGGACATGCTTTTAGGCGAGACAATACTGGACATCAGCAGGTTTATATCGTATTTTCCATACGTTGTCTGGACAACGCTGACCAGAGCTTTGTTTGAGCGGTCGAAAGCAGCTTGGGATGTTGATGCGCTGGTCATCACTGCTGGTGAGCAAGATGGGAAGACCCTTTTCTACGGCTCCTTGGGCTGAGATGACCGGTTGATGATTGAAAATGATCATCACGGAGCCCCGTCAAAAAATCATGGACAGCGTAAAAGGTGCGTCTCGTGAAGTTTATGTTCAACGTTGAACCCCAACTCTGCGCTTATCGTGTGCCTGCAATATAATGCGGTTTTAAATTGTCCCATGTTTTCAACGGTTGAACCCAGTCAACGTGTTGGGATGCATTTTCAGATGTCGCATGGTCGCTTGTTTTATTAGGCAGCGACTGTCATTGTTAGGAGGATCAGGGAGGCGACCGTGGAAACTGTTGTGACCCTCCGCCCGTGGGGTCTTCACACCATAATTTTTCAATGGACCAGGTCATACAGGCTATCAATTCAATCATACCCGAGCTCGTCGAAGACGCAAAGAGCGTTGTTTCTACGGAAGGCAGTCATGTTGTAGCAAACATGCCTCCGAGCTGTATTCCGAATAGGATTCTAATCTAGTTCCCCGATATGACGAGGCTGGTCGGATCACTGCAGAATTTGTGTTATATAACCCCTTCTAGTTATGCAGTATTGCAGTTACATCAGGCATCTTTTCGCTTAGTCTAAACCTTGGCATTTGGTTCCTAATCTTGAAGTCCCCAGACGTGTTGCGGTCAATGTTTGGCTGAAGACGATTACAAGCAATTCTCTGGCCCTAATGTGAGCGTGATTGGTAGATCGCACAGATATCAGCAAAAATAGCTCTTTGCCAAAAGATTTGAAAGGCTCCTTTAATCCCTCATTGGGCAACGTATACCTGATTCAAAAGAAACAAAAGAAGTCAAAAGATAGATGACAGCAGCGGATTTGCCAACCGCCAAACCCTTCCAACATCAAGCCGGTCCTAAGAGTGAGTGATGGGCTTATGAGAAGAGGTGACATGTATATGAGAAACTTCCAGGAGCTCGGCAAGAATACCCGCTTTCTCCCCGCTTGACCTTTCGAGTCTGAACATGAGCTTTGCCCTAACAAACCAGGATTTACCGTTCAT